GAATATTTTTTAGTATAATGTTTATGTAATTTATAGATGAAACCGAGCAGCCATACTGTGTTGAAGAGAAGTAAAGGATCATGGTGAACTCCACTCGCTTTTCTGACAAGTTTTTTATGTGACATGCATATATGTACTTTTGGCATTTTAAAGTTGTGTAAAATAAGTACCAAACATATAACATATTGAAGGCAGCTTCCTTCCTTACCCCTTCCCCTTCCCTCCCCATTCATTCCTGGTACGACTCTTCAAGTGCATGTTTATTACCATCGAAATCGAAAATCCCAAGCAAAAAACTAAATTCGTTCAAGAAATACAAAATCTAGAAACTTAATTCATTGGCTATATTCAAAGGAAAAAAGAAAACAAATATTTCACAGCAATGTTTTATTTTCTCAAACGACTTACACACTATTATAACAGTAAAATCTGTTATCTACAATACACATTCATTTTCATGGAAATTTTTTTACACCAAAACCTTTTTGAGTACAAATGACAAAATAAGGAAAAACATCTCATTTCAAAGTTAGCGACGAATTTCTACAGTAGAGCTGTACCAACAAATTCCAATACAAAAACCTCTTTTCTTACGCCCATTGGTAATGCTCTTCTCCTTACCACAGCCGCGTTGAGGATGAATCTCCACACCAATTTCACATTGTTTGGTTTTTTTGCCAGCAATACGTCTTTTAACCTCCTTCTCAGTCTTCTTGAACCATTTCGTCCAACCTTTGGGCAGGCGCTCTGCTAAGACTTTTTCCCATTTTCCTACTTTGGAGCAGTGGTCAATGACTTTGTAGTGGATCGTCTTCTTCACTGTTATTTTGCCTTTCTGGTCTATTTTTCTTGTAGTTTCAACTGTTCTTGTGAAACCATGATGTTCCAATTTTGCCTTGTCCAAATGGTCTTTCATTTCCTCGTTGCTGGGATGATATTTGTGATCGAAAATACGAAGCACTTCAGTCTCATCAGTGTAAGCTGTATGAAATCATTATGATAGAAAATAACAATCTTTCTTTGCATTTAGTAATAACAAAATGTAGCATATCTGCAAAATATATACCTGATTGTGGCAAGACAACCATTACGGCCAAAAGTGCCCACAAAATAACCAACTTCATTTTATTTTCTTCTTCGTAACCTTATTGTAAGAAACATTTACACTTTCTGATGCCAGCATCTCGAGTCTTGTGCTTTATAACTGTCCGCATTATGTAGATTTCTTTGCTATTTTGTAATAAATTGAAAGACTTGCTGAAGGAACACGAAATTTTAACATGTTTTACTTGATAGATCGTTTTAACAATCTAACTATAGCAAATTACAATATGTTCCCATAGCGACTATCGCGCGATAAGGAAAGGCTGCACTCAGCAATTGATTCCAAATGAGCATCTATAACTTAAAAGAATTGACATTTCTTGATTTTTCATTCATAACTAAAGCAAATATTTTAACTAGAATTCTTAAGTAATGATTAAAACTCTAAGTGTTCATACTCTGACGCCGTCGGGTAAATCTCTCGAACGTGACACTGAGCAATTTTTATCTTTGTAAAAGCAAGGGGAGGGATCTCAATCAATAATAGATTCAATAACGTCACCAGCGAGTTCCCAGCAACAATTCTTTCTCTCGAACTCTGAAATTATCCTTTTGAAATCATTCCGTTATAAAACATTGCCTGCATGTGTGAAAGGAACCATGGCCATCAACAACAACTTCACAAGAAAACAGCGAAATGAGGAAAAATCTAGATAATAATTTTGCATTGTTTATGAAGTGACAATTCTCTTTAGACATGCGCTGTCTGAAGACTTCTCTTTATAGCAGTGAGTATTGAATAATCACGATGATGAAATGATTTGGTCAATTTTTGTTGCCTTAGAGGCCTGGTTTTCTTCAAGAAATTCACAAAACATTTTGTGTTACTTGAAGAACAACAATCTATTACCAGATTTCTTCTTTACCAAAAACGCTGGCACGGAATGGTTGATTGCTTTTCGACACTTACACGCTATACAAAAATTTATTTCTTTCGTTGTTTATAAAGCTTTTGACAGTTACATATTCCTTTTCTGTGAGTTAATGACATAAAAAAATAACTACATTTGTAATGTGGACAGTCTTTAAGAATACTTCTTGATTTTGTTTTCAATCCTTAATTTAATAAATGATGGAAAGGCTAAAGCAAGCAACAACTAAAGATAAATGTTCCAACACGTTGCAAACTGAGCATCAGTGCCAATTGTAGAATTTAATGAATTGAGTCAGAAAGTGAAAGATTTCAAAGGAATAAAATCAATATTGACCAGGTCACCCGCTATCAACGAAAAAATAAACCAAATATCAAGCTCTGAATATTATTCAACTAATTCCCATGCAGTACTTTGCACCCTGTATGTTGACAACGAGAAGTGAAGAATGCAGAAAGGAGCCGGTAACTCAAAGAGGAGATTGGACAGTTGTCGCTGAAATGAAGGAAAAGCAGCTGGTTTACTTAATAGATGATTGTGATGTTTTGTCGCTGACAACGATTACATAAACAAAAGAATTTATCTCAACATTTGAAATACTTTTAGGTCAGCAACTATTTGATATCTTTTATACTGTAAATGTTACTGAGGCGCATTTTCAACCTCACATTTTTTTCTCATTTCTTTGTCGTCAATATATTCGGCTTTAAGCGAATGTTAACATTCTTGCAACCTTTTAGTCAGATATTGATAAATACAATTAATAATTTCTTTAGAAATTGATTGTTTTTACAGTCGGTGAACATTGAAGTGTTTTTCATAGCAGGAGTAAATATTGTACTGTCTACGTTGCTGAAGCTCACCATATGAATGAGACTATTTTTACTTTAGTAGTTTTCATAATAATTAAAGATTTACGAGGCAAGATGTGAAGTATTTCATTTCTCCTTCTTCCATAGATCTTAAATAATACATAAAATATCTATATGTTTAAAGATTGGTAATCCAGGCATTATATTATTTAAAAAAGTTTTTCCGAATTTTATGAATTATTTTCTTGAGCCTTCGACTCGTTGCTTCGAGCCTTAATCATAATGAAAAATTTATCTGTTTACAGTTGCTTTTAGCTTGTAGACGTTTAGAGCGTCTAGTTGGATTAGCGTGTGGATTAATGTAATTGGATGGTGCGGAATACGTTGTAGGTGTATTGGCGTATTGTGAATATGATTTTTACCTGATTTATGTTTTAATTTTGATTGGGGGATTGTTGCATCTCTCACACCCCCCGATAGCGACGTCCTTGCTTTAAGCGTTGGTTCTTAAACATTCATTTACCAATAAAAAATAACGAACAAAGTAAGATTACATTGAACTTCAAGTAAAGAACATAAACACGAGTACAAATGTTCTTGTTTAGTCTGTTTTAACTAGTATCTATGAAGACAATCGATTGAACTGGCAGCAATAGTTATAGTTATTATGCGGGGTTAAGGGTTTATCAAAAAACGAAAGCTTAAATAAAATAGTTGTATGATAGATATTCCAAAGACATGATACGTCCATCCAAAGAGGTTTGTTTACTGGTATATGGAAAGATTTGATAACCAGATCTTTCCACAATTAAGACAACGACATTGACTAAATGTTCTCGTTGACCAAGAAATGTCATGCTGAAGAATATTTGTCAAGCATTTGTTTAGGTTTTTATGCAATATTGAAAGAAAGTGAGGCGACGTTGCAGGTTTGTGAACATAAACACTGCATAGACATGCTGTGACATATTGTGCATTTTGAATATGTAAATATTTAAAATGAAAAGTGGTTAATATTCAAATTCTCTCATCAACAGTCTCGTTTGATTCGCATTTCAAAGAAAGAAGTTTCGTTCAAAATCTGACGATGAAACAAAACAATGCTGCTGATAAAAATTTGCATGAAATTCTAACTGCCAACCTCTCCGAGGCCTGAAAATGATGAACAAAACAATATCAGGCGATTTCAACCGACAAAGCCTACTAGCTGGATTTAGCTAATGACCTAACAGTTGGAATGCCTTGTTCGAGTAGTGGCGAATGCAAAGCTGTGCTTGGTGGCAACCGTCCTTCAAGACACTCTAAAACAACGCTCTGACCATACTCCTCTTGGTTTGTGGAAGTACGATTATTCAGTCGGTGAATATTTTTTAGTATAATGTTTATGTAATTTATAGATGAAACCGAGCAGCCATACTGTGTTGAGAGAAGTAAAGGATCATGTGAACTCCACTCGCTTTTCTGACAAGTTTTTTATAGACATGCATATATGTACTTTTGGCATTTTAAAGTTGTGTAAAATAAGTACCAAACATATAACATATTGAAGGCAGCTTCCTTACCCCTTCCCTCCCTCCTCCCATTCATTCCTGGTACGACTCTTCAAGTGCAAGTTTATTACCATCGAAATCGAAAATCCCAAACAAAAACTAAATTTGTTCAAGAAATACAAAATCTAGAAACTTAATTCATTGGCTATATTCAAAGGAAAAAAGAAACAAATATTTCACAGCAATGTTTTATTTTCTCAAACGACTAAACACTATTATAACAGTAAAATCTGTTATCTACAATACACATTCATTTTCATGGAAATTTTTTACACAAAACCTTTTTGATACAAATGACAAAATAAGAGAAAAACATCTCATTTCAAAGTTAGCGACGAATTTCTACAGTAGAGCTAAACCAACAAATTCCAATACAAAACCTCTTTTCTTACGCCCATTGGTAATGCTCTTCTCCTTACCACAGCCGCGTTGAGGATGAATCTCCACACCAATTTCACATTGTTTGGTTTTTGCCAGCAATACGTCTTTTAACCTCCTTCTCAGTCTTCTTGAACCATTTCGTCCAACCTTTGGGCAGGCGCTCTGCTAAGATTTTTCCCATTTTCCTACTTTGGAGCAGTGGTCAATGACTTTGTAGTGGATCGTCTTCTTCACTGTTATTTTGCCTTTCTGGTCTATTTCTCTTGTAGTTTCAACTGTTCTTGTGAAACCATGATGTTCCAATTTTGCCTTGTCCAAATGGTCTTTCATTTCCTCGTTGCTGGGATGATATTTGTGATCGAAAATACGAAGCACTTCAGTCTCATCAGTGTAAGCTGTATGAAATCATTATGATAGAAAATAACAATCTTTCTTTGCATTTAGTAATAACAAAATGTAGCATATCTGCAAAATATATACCTGATTGTGGCAAGACAACCATTACGGCCAAAAGTGCCCACAAAATAACCAACTTCATTTTATTTTCTTCTTCGTAACCTTATTGTAAGAAACATTTACACTTTCTGATGCCAGCATCTCGAGTCTTGTGCTTTATAACTGTCCGCATTATGTAGATTTCTTTGCTATTTTTTAATAAATTGAAAGACTTGCTGAAGGAACACGAAATTTTAACATGTTTTACTTGATAGATCGTTTTTAACAATCTAACTATAGCAAATTACAATATGTTCCCATAGCGACTATCGCGCGATAAGGAAAGGCTGCACTCAGCAATTGATTCCAAATGAGCATCTATAACTTAAAAGAATTGACATTTCTTGATTTTTCATTCATAACTAAAGCAAATATTTTAACTAGATTTATTAAGTAATGATTAAAACTCTAAGTGTTCATACTCTGACGTCGTCGGGTAAATCTCTCGTACGTCCCACTGAGCAATTTTTATCTTTGTAAAGGTAAGGAGAGGGATCTCAATCAGTAATAGATTCAATAACGTTACCAGAGAATTCCCGGCAGCAATTCTTTCTCTCGAACTCTGAAACTATCTTTTGAAAATCATTCCGTTATAAAAACATTGCTTGCATGTGTGAAAGGAACCATGGCCATCAACAACAACTTCACAAGAAAACAGCGAAATGAGGAAAAATCTAGATAATAATTTTGCATTGTTTATGAAGTGACAATTCTTCTTTTAGACATGCGCTGTCTGAAGACTTCTCTTTATAGCAGTGAGTATTGAATAATCACGATGATGAAATGATTTGGTCAATTTTTGTTGCCTTAGAGGCCTGGTTTTCTTCAAGAAATTCACAAAACATTTTGTGTTACTTGAAGAACAACAATCTATTACCAGATTTCTTCTTTACCAAAAACGCTGGCAGGGAATGGTTGATTGCTTTTCGACACTTACACGTCATACAAAAATTTCTTTCTTTCGTTGTTTATAAAGCTTTTGACAGTTACATATTCCTTTTCTGTGAGTTAATGACATGAAAAAAATATATACATTTGTAATGTGAACAGTCTTTAAGAATACTTCTTGATTTTGTTTTCAATCCTTAATTTAATAAATGATGGAAAGGCTAAAGCAAGCAACAAGTAAATATAAACGTTCTTGCACGCTGCAAACTGAGCATCAGTGCCAATTGTAGAATTTAATGAATTGAGTCAGAAAGTGAAAGATTTCAAAGGAATAAAATCAATATTGACCAGGTCACCCGCTATCCACGAAAAAATGAACTAAAAATCAGAGCTCTGATATTATTCAACTATTTCCCATACAGTACTTTGCACCCTGCATGTTGACAACGAGAAGTGAAGAATGCAGAAGAGAACCGGTAGCTCAAAGAGGAGATTGGACAGTTGTCGCTGAAATGAAGGAAAAGCAGCTGGTTTACATAATAGATGATTGTGATGTTTTGTCGCCGACAACTATTACATAAACAAAAGAAATTATCCCAACATTTGAATGTCGGTCCATAACAGTGAAGATTAAATTGTTATATATATCTTTGGGAGAGTCAATACTTGCGTTCTTTAACAAGGTTGTCAGTTTTTTCTTTGAAAATTGGTATACATTAAAACACGATTGAATGAAATCTCGGGACACAGAGTACCCGAGACTTAAAACACACTGTTTTCCTGGGTCTAAATCAGTTAATGATAATTAGAATTAGCTGCTTGACACATTAAAATGCTGTCCAAATAAAACCATTGCATCCTGCATGTTAGATTACATTCATCTGATGGAGAAAAGTTTTTTATCTTTATCGGTCTTTCAAAGAAATGTTCTTGGCAATTTTTGCTTGGAAAATCTGGAATGTCTAAGTCTAGAAAGAGCTTTTTTTAAATCTTGTCTCTAAATATAATTGAAAGTAATATAATGGTTGAATTGGAAGTATTTGTATTCCAGAATTTCAAAGAGATTTGATAATTTCGTTCAACCTCCTGTAAAACTGAGTTTTACCTTTAAGTCAGCAACTATTTGATATCTTCTATACTGTAAATGTCACTGAGGTGCATTTTAAACCTCACATTTTTTTCTCATTTTTTTTGTCTTCAATATATTCGGCTTTTAGCGAATGTAATATTCTTGCAACCTTTTAGTCAATAATTGAATAATTACAATTAATAATTTCTTTAGAAATTGATTGTTTTTACAGTCGGTGAACATTGAAGTGTTTTACATAGCAGGAGTAAATATTGTACTGTCTACGTTGCTGAAGCTCACCATATGAATGAGACTATTTTTACTTTAGTAGTTTTCATAATAATTAAAGATTTACGAGGCAAGATGTGAAGTATTTCATTTCTCCTTCTTCCATAGATCTTAAATAATACATAAAATATCTATATGTTTAAAGATTGGTAATCCAGGCATTATATTATTTAAAAAAGTTTCTCCGGATTTTATAAATTATTTTCTTGAGCCTTCGACTCGTTGCTTCGAGCCTTAATCATAATGAAAAATTTATCTTTTTACAGTTGCTTTTAGCTTGTAGACGTTTAGAGCGTCTAATTGGATTAGCGTGTGGATTAATGTAATTGGATGGTGTGGAATACGTTGTCAGGTGTATTGGCGTATTGTGAATATGATTTTTACCTGATTTATGTTTTAATTTTGATTGGGGATTGTTGCATCTCGGAGCGACGTCCTTGCTTTAAGCGTTGGTTCTTAAACATTCTTTTACCAATAAAAATAACGAACAAAGTAAGATTACATTGAACTTCATGTAAAGAACATAAACCGAGTACAAATTTTCTTGTTTAGTCTGTAGTATCTATGAAACAATCGATTAAACTGGCAGCAATAGTTATAGTTATTATGCGGGGTCAAGGGTTTATCAAAAACGAAAGCACAAATAAAATAGTTGTATGATAGATATTCCAAAGACATGATACGTCCATCCAAAGAGGTTTGTTTACTGGTATATGGAAAGATTTGATAACCAGATCTTTCCACAATTAAGACAACGACATTGACTAAATGTTCTCGTTGACCAAGAAATGTCATGTTGAAGATTTATCAAGCATTTGTTTAGATTTGGGAATAATACAATTTAAAGAAAGTGAGGCGTGGCAGGTTTGTGAACATAAACACTGCATAGACATGCTGTGACATATTGTGCATTTTGAATATGTAAATATTTAAAAATGAAAAGTGATTAATATTCAAATTCTCTTATCAACAGTCTCGTTTCATTCGCATTTCTAAAGAAAGAAGTTTCGTTCAAAATTATACGATGAAACGAAGCAATGCTGGTGTTAAAAATCTTGCATGAAATTCTAACTGCCAACCGGCCTGAAAATGATGAACAAAGCAATATCAGGCGACTTCAACCGACAAAGCCTACTAGCTGAAGTTAGCTAACGATCTAACAGTTGGAATGCCTCGTTCGAGTAGTGGCGAATGCAAAGCTGTGCTTGGTAGCAACCGTCCTTCAAGACAGTCTAGAACAACGCTCTGACTAAACTCCTCTTGGTTTGTGAAAGTACGATTAATCAGTCGGTGAATATTTTATAGTATAATGTTTATGTAATTTATAGATGAAACCGAGCATCCATGCTCTTTTGGAGAGGAAACAAGATAATATTTGAGGTCAACATGACAGAAGCTTAACATCATGACAAACTCTTCAAACAACCAATAGACTGAGCCGAGAAAGGTAAACTAAATTCTAGAACAAATTGGCTATACATATCGATGAACTATAGCATTGTGAAACGTTCATCGCAGCGCTCTAAGCCCAAATAGCGTTCTGTGCTGTTCTAAGAAACGAAGGCCTTATTCACCGATTTTAACTTTTTTTGAACTGCTGTTAGCATTAAAGAGCTGCAATCAAAGCCAAGTTAAGTGAAGGCCACACTGTAGCGAGACGTCTTAACTGTGAAAGAAACATATAAGATGAGTTTAAAATTCGACCAAGTGGAATTGATTCCCAAATATGCGTACAGTTAATTTAAAGGTTTTCAGTAAATATTAAACAGTTTTTAAAAGAGAACGTAGAAAGTCATTCCATGAAGCAAAATATTTAATTATTATATATTAGACTGAGGAGATTTTGTGTGCCATAGATATTAAATACGCTTTAATTGGATAGTAGCGCAAATCCAAGCAATTTTGCAGAGTAAAATTTGAGTAGTGTTTATATTACCCAATATATGCATGTTTACTTCCGTAATTGTTTCTTGTGAGCATGTTTTAGCCGGTATCCAGAAAATTTTGTTATATTTTATTTTAATGTATTAAAATCTATCTGAGCATGTTTTAGCCGGTATCCAGAAAATTTATTTATACTTAGAATTCGCTTACCGCCTGGCAAATCCATGGTCAGTTTTGTCGCAATTATATTTTTATCTTACAAGTATGATTGCGACATTGCACCCTTTTCGGGTTTATCATCATTCATGACTCGAGAGAGAGCTATAGATTCATAAAGTAAAGTTGTTTATATATTTATGGTTTTGTGTGTGTATAGTTTGTGGAACCCCGTTATTGAAGATTATCTTTGTGTTTGTAGTGACTCCATCCATTTTGTGCATTTATATTTAGTTGTCGAAGTGGCTGTTGTATGTATTGTATTTTTTTATTATAGCAAACCATATATAATAGATTAAAATAAAATATAAATAAATTGCCCAACATAAAACTTTTTATGAGCGCTTGGAGTCAAAAGGAGTGCAAAAAAATGCATTATCCTTCAAATTGAGCAATCAAAAATTGCAAATTCAACCATAAAATTGCTTTTAATTGTATAATTAGAGCCAAGGCTAGACTCTACAGCTGTGGTGTAATTATATTAAGTGCTGCTGATACTTGGAATATTCGAATCCTGTGAAGCCGACACGTAAATTCTAGATAAAGAACAATGCAAGTCTTGTAAGTTGTAAAAGCCTTTTTCATAATATAGCATTTACCAATAAGGAGACATTTATCGCAAAGCAACAAATGGCAAGAATCTACAAAGCCAGATAAAGGCGAAATAATGGATATATAAAGCAACAATTGATCCCACAAGAAAATGTCAACGCAATTGAAAGGACTTTCATTCTTGAGATTAGCAATGTAGCAGTACCCGAATTTCTTTGTTCTGTAAAGTTTTCACTTTTCCTGATTGATAATTGGGAGGTGGTGGGGAGGGCTCATATTCATATATTCGTAATTATAATACCTAGAACAAATAAGTTCAATAAAAACAAATAAAGTGTAACAAGCATATATGAATATTATCTCTCCCAATTAGTGATCTTTCGCCGTTCCTGCTTTTTTAGGATTTTGTATTTGCTCACAGATAAATACATACTTGTAATTCAGGGGTTAGTAAAGACATTGTATTGCACATCGCAAATCCACTAGCATATTTTTAATTAGCATTTACTTTCTTAAGTATCCAAAGAGTAATCATGTTGACTCATGCATATTTTTAACGTCGACGTACTTCAAAGGATGGTATAAAGAAAGCCGCGACCTCTTTGAAATTGTTGCTGCTGAAAATGAAATATTTTAAAAGCTGAATCCTGTTTTCTGACGACACGTAAGCGTAAAATGTAGAATTTTCATCGATTTTATTTTCCGTTAAAATTTTTGCAAGAGTTTCTCTTTCTGGTTTCTAGGCGAAAAACATTATCATGTAAATCATGATAAATGCAGTCAATCCTGTGTTAAGCAGTCATCCTCAATCGATGATATTGGTATCTCTTGATTGCTTCGTACAGCTGTTGTAGAAAATCACAGATATAATAAAAGGCATGTAATAAAATTTATGATTTTAACAGCAATTTAATTTAATGCTTGCATGTGGAAAATAACCAATAAAAAACCGAATAAAACTGAATTTTTTCTAAGGTTAATTAAAAAGTCAGAGACTACAAATTTATATAAACACAATAATATCACTCGACCGTTTTATAAACTTTCAAAACGATGAATAATTATGTTTAAAGGACTTGGAAAAGGTGAGCACGACCTGTTACTAGAGATCACAGTTTAATAAAGGTCACTAAAATAGTATGTAGCTCAGTAGCTATAACATGGACATTATTTGGAGAGGGATTGCTTCATAATTGTCCCTCGACTGCTTAACAGTTGATCACGCAATACGGTTCGTCTGAATTTGAAAGATAAAGCGTAAAACTATAAAATGATTTATTACAACGCATGCACTGCTAGGCAGTGGCGTAGCTCGCGGTCTGGCTGGTCGGGCCCAGCCCGACCAAATATTTTCCCAAAAATGAAAAATTTGTTTTCTTTAAAATTGGATTTGCGAAAATTTTAAATTCTGCGACTCTTTTTAGAATAATCCACAGTCTATTAGTGTAATATTTGTCAAATTGCGTCGTTATTAGCAAAATTATCATATTTTTAAACGTTACTTAGCAACAATGACTAGTGCATTTCTAGTGCCAGGCATTACGCAGTTTAGTCGGGCTCTGAAAATTCAGCCCGACCAAATAGTAAAATCTATAGTGGGATTATCTGCAATCTGATTGGTTGACAGCAACTGAGCAAACTCAAATGCGCTGTTTCGCAACATCTAGTCGGGCTCTGAAAATTCAGCCCGACCAAATAGTAAAATCTATAGTGGGAATATCTGTAATCTGATTGGTTGAGAGTAGCTGTGAACACACTCAAACGTTTAACAACATCTCATTTTCAAAAGCGTGACTTGAATTTTGACCTTTCGAAATATACGTTCGGAAATCGTGATAACTTACATTACAATGGCTTCGGCTAATGAAATCGATATAACAAGTGAACTACAAAAGAAACCCTTTTCTGTTCGACTATCAGGCGAGCAAAATATACTCTTAAAGCAGCGGCCAATTCCAAATTTACAAGCGACTGCAGACATTTGAAGCTTTCAGGAAAGTTGGTACTCGAAGAAAGATTGGCTTTGTGGTAGCTCAGAAAAGAATGCATTGTTCTGTTGGCCTTGTCTTTTATTTTGCCCTGGATCATCATCTTCATGGACGCAGACGGGATTCAAAAACATGAAGAATTTCCTATCCGATTGTAAGAAGCATGAGAAGGCAAAATCGCACATGGGCGCCTACAAGACCTGGAAGGCCTACGGTTTTCAGCCTCGTATCGACTGTATCATGTCACAAACTAGACGTGAAGAGATTCAGCGTCATAACGAGGAGGTAAGGCAAAACAGGGAAATGTTGAAAACCATAACAGAAGCTGTTTTATACTTGTCTAGGCAAGAGCTTGCATTTAGGGGCATGATGAATCTAGTAGCAGCATGAATAGAGGAAATTATAAAGAGCTACTTGAAAGTTTTGCCAAGATAGATTCTGTTTTGAAAGGCGATTACATGGAAGGCTTGCTGAAACCCACCTTGCTGGGAAGGCGGTTTACTGGAGTCTCTCCTGATATTCAGAATGATTTGATTGATTGTCTTGATAAGATAATAAAGGATGAGATTTTAAAGGAAATATATTGCTGCACTTTCTTAACTATACAGGTTGATGAGGCAACTGATGTTTCTACCAAAGAACTATTCGGTGTAATTGTTCGAATGAACAAAGGGGAAAGTGTCATTGAAAGACAGCTTGGGTTTGTTGATGTCAGTTGTGATAGGACTGCGACTGCTATATCATCAGTAGTTAAGGTAAGTTAAGTCAATACAATAATGTGAAAGAGAAATTTATTGGACAGACTTATGATGGTGCATCTGTTATGTCTGGTCATCTCAATAGTGTTCAAGCTCAAGTTCAGCAGGATTATCCTTATGCTCAATTTGTTCACTGTGCTGCCCATAGACTAAATCTAGTATTATGTCAAGCTGCATCCTCCATCTCACCTGTTAAGATTTTCTTTGTTAATATTAGTGCTTTCTGCACCTTTACTAGCAATTCCCCCCAAAAGAAAAGCTTTACTATCATCCCATAGGCTTGAGTTTCCTATTCATGGTGACACAAGATGGTATTATAGGGCTCATGTCATCAATGTCTTGCATTTTAACTATGAGAAACTGGTAGACATATTTGAAAATCTTACTGATAATCCAATAGGTTGGGATGATGAAACGTTAAGTAAGGTTACTGGTTTACTTGGCTACCTTAATGGCTTCTTGTTTTGTTTCTTGGTACATGTTTTCCAGAGAATTCTTGAGCAGTCATCCATACTTTATTCTATCTTGCAAGACAAGGACACTGTTGAATAAGTGGGACCACCAGTAACCAGGTATGACCAACGGCATAATTACAAACAAATGTATTTTTTAATTCTTGACACAATTGTGACTATGCTTACTGAGCGATTTCAGGATATGGAGCGTGTTAGATTTTTGACCTTGTTTACCCTAGGGTATTTAAGATTTGGAAAGGTGAAGTGCCCTCAGAAAAGATTAATCTTCTAAAGGAGGTTTATGGTGATATGTTTGACATACCAATGCTAGTTAGCCAACTTTCTTTTATTTACAGAGATAAAGACTTTCACTGTGATTCATGTGATGAATTATTGAAATATATTTTTCAGTTCCATTATCAATGTAGTATTCCAGAAATTGTAAAACTGTTAAAGATAAATGGGGTTTTGTCAATTACAAGTGCTTCAGTTGAGAGGTCATTTTATTGTTTGAAGAGGGTAAAAAATTATCTTAGAAATACTATGAGCCAAGGACGTTTTAGTTCTCTTTGCAGGATTTCCATTCACAAAGACATACTGTCAGAGAAAGAAGACGCCAACACATTGCATGATGAGGTAGTAAAGAAGTTCATTGAAAAACCACGAAGACTAGCTTTCTTATACAAATAGGTATACATATATGGCTGATAGCAAGCTGATGATGTCTTACGTCCATGGCATGTGAGAATTTTTCCGGGAACTTTTTAATGCAGTCAATGATGATTGTCATTTCAGCACGACAATTTCATCACAACTTTTGATAGTTGTTGATGACAAATCTGAGCCTTTTTCGGTTCTTTTGTCAAAGTTTCTTTACAAGATGTACATAGGTATCTATTTATGTATGTAGTGTTGAGAAAATAAATCACATATCTGCAACTATTTTTGAATTGTTTCTCTGCTTTACTATAAGATCCTTCGGCAATTTAAATTAACCAAAATGGTTCTATTTCCTGCATGAATATCACGCATTTGCTTTCTAAGATAGCCGTTTCCGACGTTCTAGGGAGTCTAAATTCGGAAAATTTTATCGCTCGGCGCCAACCATGGTGGCGCCTCGTGAGCCCGACCAAATGTTTTTTGCTAGCTACGCCACTGCTGCTAGGTCAATAGCTGAAATTGCATTAGCCTGTGCAAACTAATCTGTGCTCAATCAATAAAACCAATCAAAGAGAATTCGCAAATCAATACATGTTAGAGGAAATATTCAAATATTTATTTTATATTTATTCGTTTCGCATTGTTATTATTTTGTAGAGGACATAAAAGATGGTCTTCGTCATGATTTAATTATACAAATCCTGGAGACGTTTGCGAGAACTCTGGCGCAGGTGCAAACTCTCGACTTTCATTCTAGGGCTTGTACTGATCTGCTTTTGAGTTCATCCAAAGGTATCCTTGGTTTGCATAATGCAGCACAGTCTTCTTAAATCCTATTTAAGATTTCAAAGAACGCCTTACAGAGAATAAGAAGATTTTTGGATTATCCGCGAGGAATAGCATCTTTTTTCGTTAAGTAATTTGGAAGGTCATGGTTAATGAAGAAGAACATTAACATAGATAAATATTGTAGTATTCCGAATAAAATTTTTGTTTAAAGCAAAAATGACCAACAATAAAAGCCACACGATGTACACTGAAAGAAAGTAAAAGTTAGCCTGGCATATCTCTATGGCTTATTGCATGCATGCAAAGAAAGAGATCTGGAAGAGTCCTCATTACCAATTTAACAGCAATGACTTTTGGAGAACATGTATAATTGCTGCCTTTAATTAGTTATGAAAAAGATATGTAATGAAGCATCAAACGTCGTTTGTTAGCAGTAAAGGATCCTGGATGAAGTCCACTCGCTTTTCTTACTTTTTTTATTTTATGTGACATGCATATATTAAGTAGCAAGACCGTTTATTTAGAGCTGCTGTGCAAATATTTCAATGTTCATTCACTGTAAAAAAAACAATGTTAATGTTCTAAATATCTAAATATCTCATATCAAGACAACACTTTCGGGATGGCCGCGCGTTTTGAAACCTCTTGTCAACTTAATGTGCAATGCGAAATATTCGCTTTCGTTTAAATAATCAACTAAAATCAAGGACATAGTATAAATTTGTTTTCTTCCTTGACTTTGGTATACGATCTATTCACATCAACAATTGTGGGGTATTTAGTGCAATTTCGATAAACTCTGCTGAGAAACATTTTAACCCCTGTTGTACACAGTGACGTAGCCGGCCTGGTGTTCGTTGTTGCGTGGGGGTGGGGGTGCAAAATTCAAATATTCATGTTCTGTCTTGTTCATTTCATTGAAATCAATTGTTTTCTGTGGATTAAAAAACATGTATACAGGAATATCTTTCCCCTCACCACAACCAATTATCAATGCTAACTAAGCTTTCGGTCGTAAAGCAATCGCTGTGTTTTCTAACACCTTAGTTATTGTGCTCGCGAGATAAGTGGTGCATCACACACTTTCACACCCCGTAAATGGTATATAGTTTTAATCGTATCAGGGGGTACTTCCTCACTGTAGCAAACTTAGAACGTGGTTACCATTTACAGGGGGCTGAGAGAAAAGATTCAAAGAAGAAGAAAGGTGGTGGTATTTTCAGTCGAAGCAGCTTTAAGCGTCGATCCAGCGGACATAATTCAGAGATATTGGCTTCTGATATACAATTGTGTGAAAAGGACAGGATGGAATTGATGAGGAAAATAAAAAATAAGGAAATAACATCTGAGGAAGCATGGGATCAATTGAGAAGGTATGAATAGCTATGTAAGATTAGATTTATAAACTCTTTATTTAGCGTGGTTTCTCATATATGACTCTATTTCTAAAAGGCCCATTTTTTCTAAGAAGCCCCCCCTATCAAATAGACTACTCTATTTAATAAGCTCCCCCCTGGGAGAGCATACAATTCGTATATCAAGCTCGCCTTCTTTAGTAAGCTCTCTAATGCTTCTCTAACAACCTTCTCTCCCTAACAAGCTTCCCTCTCTATCAAGCTTCCCTGTCTAATCAGCCTCCTCTCTCAGATAAGTCACTTCTCTAATAGGCTCTCCTCTTAATAAACCCATCACTCCAACAAGACTTCTACTGAGAAAATGTTCTGTTATTAAGTCTACACCAGTGATCTAAAAAGCGATGGAATGTCTGTAATCATGGAAGTTTTTGATCGTTTGTTTCCGATTTTAATTTCCAAGCGTTAAGTTGTTGCTCTGTACAAATATATGTTGTGGTTCTATCTTCATGTGATCAATGGCTCATTGAGAGAAAACAAAAAATAATGATCGCATTCTCTTGAAAAGCATTCATCAAGAATTGCTCAACATTACTGTAAAATAATTTCTTTCTTCTTTTGGTCGTCTTTGATAATATATGGATAATTCGGGATAATATTGGATCTCTGTCAACCTTAACGCTGCCATTGAATCAGTTGGAATCATTCATCCAATTCGTTAGTTGTATAAATCGTAATGAATTGTCGTTATATTGTGTAGATTTGGCAACAAACGGGACAATAAAATCAAATCAAAAGGTTCAACGAAAGGATCAAAATCACCAAAGACAAAAGATTCAAGAATATCGGCGTCAACTGTTCAACTTTGCAACACATCAACTTTCTACACAGGTTCGTCAACTGTTCAACTTTGCAACACATCAACTTTCTACACAGATTTGTCAACTGTTCAACTTTGCAACACATCAACTTTCTACTCAGGTTTGTCAACTGTTCAACTTTGCAACACATCAACTTTCTACTCAGGTTTGTCAACTGTTCAACTTTGCAACACATCAACTTTCTACTCAAGTTTGTCAACTGTTCAACTTTGCAACACATCAACTTTCTACACAGGTTTGTCAACTGTTCAACTTTGCAACACATCAACTTTCTACACAGTTCGTCAACTGTTCAACTTTGCAACACATCAACTTTCTACACAGATTTGTCAACTGCTCAACTTTGCAACACATCAACTTTCTACTCAGGTTTGTCAACTGTTCAACTTTGCAACACATCAACTTTCTACTCAGGTTTGTCAACTGTTCAACTTTGCAACACATCAACTTTCTACTCAAGTTTGTCAACTGTTCAACTTTGCAACACATCAACTTTCTACACAAGTTCGTCAACTGTTCAACTTTGCAAGACATCAACTTTCACAGGTTCGTCAACTGTTCAACTTTGCAACACATCAACTTTCTACACAGGTTCGTCAACTGTTCAACTTTGCAACACATCACAGGTTTGTCAACTGTTCAACTTTGCAACACATCAACTTTCTACACAAGTTCGTCAACTGTTCAACTTTGCAACACATCAACTTTCTACACAGGTTTGTCAACTGATCAACTTTGCAACACATCAACTTTCTACACAGGTTCGTCAACTGATCAACTTTGCAACACATCAACTTTCTACACAGGTTCGATAACTGTTTAACTTTGCAACACATCAACTTTCTGCACAGGTTCGTCTTTGACAACGCAAACTATAACCTACTAATGTGTTGATTTACACCAGTGACAATCATCAAGCTTAAAGATGACTACCGCTAAGGTTGTCGAAACGTCAGTCAACAACAAAAACAGTCCTTCTCAAGACTATACCAACCTGGACGATGTACATTTACAAACATGTAACGATACTCCCGGGTTCAAACCATTTACTTTAATCATCAAGCTTGTCTGTCGTCCGTTGACATTGACCGGAAGTAAATACGTTGTTTTACACCAATGACAATCATCAAGCTTGTCTGTCATGCGTTGACATTGACCGGAAGTAAATACGTTGTTTTACACCAATGACTGTTATCAAGGTTACCCTGCATAGACATTAACCTAAAGTAAATATGTTTGTTGCCAATTGCAGTTGTCAAGCATGTCTAAAGCCTAGTTCAAATATAGTTGTAATAGTTGTAATTCAGGCAATTTTTTCAAACTGGGTCAAATTTACATGCGGCTTTTCATCGCTTATATTTGATAAAAAACGCCCGGGCTAGGTTTTTGTGACAAGTTTTTTCATTGGCAAGGCTTGGTCAATGGATTTTGATGTATTATCGTAAAAGAAATGAAAAGAAAAATGAAATTGCCATTGCCGAATAGCGTTCACGTATAAATTAAGATGGCGACTGTTGTAATTGTTGTAGACATTGAACTAGATTCATCTTCTTCAACAGCTCCCGATTTGTCTGCGATTAAATTACAACAATTGCAACGGGCGTTCACATATAGTTGCAAGTAATTGTTGTAGACCTTCATCGCCGACAGAAATACAAAAAATACAACTATATGTGAACTAGGCTTAACATAAAAATAGACCGGAAGTAAATATGTTGTAGCACGCCATTGACAGTCAACAAGCTTGTCCTACACACAATGCGATGCCGACGTTGAGTGTAGGAGTATCACGACGTGTTTTGCGACATCTTGCTACTTTGTCTTGTGAAGTAAAACCAATTTATCGTAATTTTTATCACAATTTTTCAGATTCTAATGTGGACATTTCTCAAAGCACCAGCAATATCCCATCTTCGACTACCTCGGACTCATCACCAGATTCAACCCAAGGACTATCTCGCAAACACAGAGTGGACACTGACAGCAGTGAAACTGTAGGTTTAGTTTTCATGTTTTCTAATATCTTCCGTTCAGACCTTCGCTACTCGTTTGGACACTCTTTCTATAATAAACGAAAGGCGACTTAGCATGAATTTTAACCTAAGAATGTCTTCGTAAATATGTAATCCTGACTATTTTTGTTCCGTTTTAGCTATGTTCCAGTGGTAGTGTCGAATTTGATACAAACGCTCAAGGTATATGTGCGCTTCACACTCCGGAATTTTTATCGAGGAAGAAAACTTCAATGAACTACTGTGTTTTTTATATTGAATTACTGAGTTACATATGATTTTTTTATGATTTACATTTTCCTATATTCTCTCGTCTTTCACAGTTTCTCATCATGGTCTTTCACCGGCGTCTTCAAAATTTCCAAAGAACGATGTTCGACGAGCGGCTTCCGAGAAAAAAAGAACAAATAAGATGAATGAGGAGGAAAATCGTCGCAGTACCATATCCAACTCGGATTTAAATAACGCATCTTCGGGTAGTCTTTCTCACTCACAAGAAAACGTCAATAATCAGCCTCCTATTCCGCCATCGAAAAAGCCATCACGAGCTAACATCGGTAAAAACATCCCATCGGGTTTGCGGACCCCGGACATTTCGGCTAGTGCCGGGAAATCACCGCAAATCGAGAGGAAATCGAAACCGGATATTATTACCAAACAACATGAAGGAGGAAAACCTGTTTTACCACCCAAGCTCTCCCCAAGTAAACCAGCGAAACTTCCTCCTAAGCCGATGACATCTAATAGTTTACCTAGAAACGCCCCCCTTAGGTCTATTGCCAACGGCAATTTAATTGAAGATGCCACACAAGATACGAGGACTAAAGGCGAGGTGACGTCACAGATTTTGACGTCACGGCAGGCAAGGAAGGTGCCACCAAAACCATCGCCTGCGACTAGGGTTTCCCGCCATAAACCGAGTGGAGCTAAACTTTTGGAAATGATCGAGAAGAAACTTGAAGAAGAAGGAATTGATTTATTACAAGATCCTTATACAAATCAGGTGGGATTTTGGTTGTGAAAGTCGCTAGTACTGCACATACGTTTAATGATTTTCCTTAAAAATGCTTATTTAAAGAATGAATAACGGCTAAATTATTTTTGAGCAATGATTTACTTTATAACTATATGATTGTTGACAACCTGTTTATGTTAAATAGTTAACTAGATATGTAGAAAACGGGAGGTTCTTTACATTCCTCCCCGGATGTAATACGTAGAAATCCTGCAAGGTTGGATGTGAGTGTGGCGCAAATGTATAATGTTTAGGACCAAAGACTAAAGGGATGTGATTAGTAGAATAAGTTTTTCATGAAGTATTGCATAAATGACATCACATTATGATTTCATGAAGTATCATAAAAATGGTGACATTACAGTCGGTCTCTATTATTATACATGTATAAATAGTATTTAATAGTTAAAACAATGTCAAGTTTTTGCCAATCACAAACATCCACCATTTTAATATTTTCTTATTTTTGTTGTACCAGAATGGTAAATGGGGTGTTCCCATGACGCTGGTTGATCGATATTCCCGCGAGTTGAAGACGACGATGAGAGAAGTTGCCAAGGAAATGGATCATATAAGGGTGGAAAAATTAGATCATGTTAAGAAAAAGGCGGTGAGTTTTCATAAATTTTTCACGACATTATAAAGCTTCTTTATTACGCATCGTCCTTGTTTGATATGGTTTCTTTTGGTGTTAGCCATTAAGGCGGTGTAAAAGATGAAAACTTCAATTATTATGTATTTAGTCCTTGATTGATATGGTTGTTTTGATGTTAACCATTAAGGCGGTGTAAAAGATGAAAACTTCAATTATTATGTATTTAGTCCTTGATTGATATGGTTTGTTTTGATGTTAACCATTAAGGCGATGTAAAAGATGAAAACTTCAATTATTATGTATTTAGATGATCATATGTTTGTTATGTCTTTGTTCGTGCGTAAGATAAGACGTGAAAATCTGACTGAGTACAATTGAGCCTCGGTTCGCATGATTTTTCTCCATTATTGAAAGAATTTATTTATTGTAGGTTTTCATGTGTCGTTGTTTTGTCAGCAGCTCCTTTGTGAAACGTTGTCTTTGTGAAACTTTGTCTTTCTGAAACGTTGAGATTTTTTTGCTCGAATGAAAACTAACGCAATTAAAAATTTCACTGAAATTTGAAACTTTCTAAAAAAGCTGCGACATCGTCATTTGCATTTTATTTATAATCGAGACATGTAAATTTTTGCCCGCATTGAAGGTTTTTTGTTTTTGTAATAGCCCAGAAAGTAGAATAATCGTCGCACAAGAAGTAGACATGCCAAATGAAACGGTTTTTTTATTTTTTCTGTAAGGTTCCATGTGATATTTCCAGTCTTCGCTTCGCTCCAGATGTTGTGGGAAAACTTAGTTCAGTGGTGGACTGGTTGACGTCACTTGGACTGCCAATGTACATAGAAAATTTTCTGGAAGAAGGATACGATGATATGAGTATTGTACCCTATCTTTCACACGACCATCTTCGTCATGCAAATATCACAAATACTGATCATATCGCTAGACTTATTCGATCCCTTGAAAACATGGCCCCAGACCCTCACTCTTACAATGGAGATTGACGAGGCCCCAGACCTCTCCTCTTACAATGGAGATTAAAGAGGCCGCAGACTTCTCCTCTTACGACGGAGGTTGATGAGGCCCATACCCTTGTCGTGTCGTGTACATTAACTAAGTCAAATGACTCAAATCTCGCTCACGACTTGTCGATAATTATTAGAAATGATAATGTATTTATATATTATGATTCGGTTTTACGAAAGCTCGACAATGCTGCCCAAGGGATGTTCAAAATTATAATAGATATCGATTTAACGGCTGATGTAGGAAACGAACCTCGTGTCCAGGAGAAAGGACAATGGGTACGAGGTTGACACCATTGAACTGTCTTTTGAATCTGGAGTGCTCTCTTTGTTGTTGCAATCCTTGAAGCCGAAATTTAAGTTTTCTTGAGTTTTTAGATATAATTTCCATGAAATAATTTTAAAGAATGAACAAAAATCTATATAAAATACAGTCGCACAAACTGCCATGATACGTTTTACCTCACGAGCTCGGGTAAATAACGAAAATACTCTGATATGAATGCGTCTTAGTGTTCTTCAGATGATTTATAGCACTACTATTGGAGTTAGTGTTCCAGTTTATATTATAGTTCAATGGTTGTCAGCCACCAAGCATCTCCAGTAACATGCTTTTCAATAGTTTAGTGCGCTAAAACGTCATCGTACGTTTTAAACTATTTTTGTGTAGAAAAAACTAACTTCTTTCAAACCTGTTTGTTTTGGTTTGCATGCTAATATTATAAATCTATTCATGATTGTGGAATTTGTGAATCGTATTTGGCGACATTTTGTCGAATGAATTTAGTTATACACAAGTCTTGAATTCTTTTGAACATATATATACTTGTCACTTTTCTATAATAATTTCGATATGATAAATCCTACAATGATGCAATAACATTTTTACATATATTATTTATTGAGAAATAAATTAGAATTTATCTGTGTTGAATATTTTACATATGACAATAAATAAATATTGGTATTTTAGCTTACATATGCAAATATGCCGTGTAGTTATTCGCTTACATCATCACATGTGAATAGATTATATGTATCCGCGTCAGATTTATGTATTTATAGACTGGGTCTAGCATTTATCTTCTGAGGAACAGTCATCTATTCTCACTCACTTTCAACAAATCTTTTGTCAACATCTTTAAATCTTCAAACCTGATTTGTTTTGTAGACTTGATTAGCGCTGTCACAAATGCGTGCAAGTAATTTAATTTGCCAGGATATTTTGATTTGCACGAATAGGTACACTTGAGTTCTATATATATTTATTTATATCGTCGTTAGCACGATGTTCATACATGCAAAACATGTTGTATTAAAAATTCCTTTTGAAATCAAATTTTTTCAATTTTACCCCGGATGAATGAATATCCTTTCCCAGTTATCGGGCAGCAATGCTAACAAGTCTTAATAGTAGACTTCCATCCGAATGCTATAGTGTACGCTCTTACTTTGATTATTTTTGTTAATTGAAGGGTAAGTTCAGTGAAACACGATCTGCACAAAACTGATGTGCTCGAATTATCATGAATATGAACAGTGACACTGATCAAGTTGTTGGTTTGAAGACACTTAAGAAAAGGAAGAAAGGCCAAAAAGCAAGGCTAGAATGATTTAAAAATTATTAAGGAATGCGGCCTCTCTGTCACTTACTAACTTCTTCTCTTTAATAGTGACAACTGAATAATGAACATTGCAAGTAGTCATTGGCTACCACAATCACGTTCAAATAATTTCAAACAAATAAAGCTGGCAAAGTCCCTTTCAAGCAAAATTTGCAACTCACAATTAAAGTTGAAGGATCTTATATATATATCATGAAAAGAATATTACATATCTGAAAAAGACTTAACCTTAAATTTATAAATACACCATGCCATCTTCGATGATAGTATTTTCATATGTAGGTGGTAATTCGCAAATAGTTAATACGTACTTTTTAACTTTACTGTAAATTTCTATTCCGTACGATTCTCGTGAATACCAACGTAAGTTGAAGATGTTACCGTGTTTACCCTAGGAGAAACAACCCTGAGAAAAACAACCCCAGGAAATACAACCTTGGGAAAAACAATCCTAGGAAACTATAAGCCCCCCTGTCAACAAGACTCTGGTAACAATGTTGCTTAACACATGAATTGACTAAATTTGTATCAGTGGAAAAAAATTTCAGTGACGAAAACAGAATTTTGTTTTATTTTCTACAGACTTACGCTATTACAGTAAAAAAGAATTGTCAACGACGACATACATAGCTACATTGTTACTGTCACTTCTTGAATAAGGAATTAGCATCCAGCTAACCCCAGCGCCTCCACGATACCTACGTTTCCATACGAGGATTGAACTTAGCACGAAAACGAGGATAAGAACGAGCTAGAGAATCTAAACGCACACGGTAACGTTTTCTTGCATTGTTTTTCCTATTCTTCTGATCCTTATGAAACGCAGGGTCGGTGATACCAATCGCTTCACTTTCATCATCACTGTAGGCTTGACAAAATCAATATGATATACAAATGAGAAGGATTGTTAGTTTACTTTCTTTTAAAACACTAAGTAATAACAAAATGTAGCATGACTGCAAAATATATACCTGATTGTGGCAAGACAACCATTACGGCCAAAAGTGCACACAAAATAACCAACTTCATTTTATTTTCTTCTTCTTAACCTTCTTGTAAGAAACATTTACACTTACTGATGCCAGCATCTCGAGTCTTGTGCTTTATAACTGTCCGTATTATGCAGATTTCTAGCTGTTTTTGTAATAAATTGAAAGACTGTTTTACTTGATAGATCGTTTTAAACAATCTAATTATAACAAATTACGATATGTTCCCATAGCGATTATCGCGCAAAACGGAAAGAATACGCTCAACAATTGATTCCAAATCCGCATCTATAATTTCAAGGAGTTGCAATTTCTTGATTTTTCATTCATAACTAAAGCAAATATTTTAACTAAATATTTTAAGTAATGATTAAAACTCTAAGTGTTCATACTCTGACGTCGTCGGGTAAATATCTCAAACGTCCCACTGAGCAATTATGAATCTATATCTCTCTCGAGTCATGAATGATGATAAAGCTGAAATGGGTGCAATGTCGCAATCATACTTGTAAGATAAAAATATTATTGTGACAAAACTGACCATGGATTTGCCAGGCAAAAAGCGAATTCTAACTATAAATAAATTACCCAACATAAACCCTTTTATGCGGCATATGTTATTACACTTCACACTAATTCACAATGATAATACACAATTGACACCCACACATTACAGCTAAAAATATCACACCTAAATCACACTTCACAACTAAAAACATTTCACTTCACACTAATTCACAATGATAATATACATTTCCTGCACACACAATACAATAACGTTAGAAGCAGATAACAAATACGGCTAACCTAACGTTAGTCAAACTCTATGACTCTGAAGATGACTACCGCTAAGGTTGTCGAAACGTCAGTCAACAACAACAAAAATAGTCCTTTTCAGGACTATACCAACCTGGACGATCTACATTTACAAAAATGTAAAAGTTTTATGTTGGGCAATTATATTTATACTTAGGATAAGATAGAAATATATCACATAGGTATTTGTTACTAATTGAAGATACAAAGGTTCGTCTTATGGTAAGGAGTCGATAATTGATACACATTTCAATTATATTTTCCTTCATAAAATTCAATTAGAGCTGAAACGTGCAAAATTTTGAGCGTTAGGAGTCAAAAGGAGTACAAAAAATGCAAAATATTTCAAATTCAGCAATCAAAAATTGCAAATTCAACCATAAAATTGCTTTAATTGTATAATTAGAGCCAAGGCTTAGACTCTCCAGCTGTGGTGCAATTATATTAAGTGCTGCTGTTACGTGGAATATTCGAATCCTGTGAAGCCGACACGTAAATTCTAAATTATGAACATTGCAAGTCTTGTAAGTTGTAAAAGCCTTTTTCAAAATATAGCATTTATCAATAGGGAGACATTTATCGCAAAGCAACAATTAGCAAGAATCTACAATGCCAGATAAAGGCGAAATAATGGATATATAAACCAACAATACATCCCACAAAAAATGTCAAACACAATTAAAACATTAATTCTTGGTTATTTTTAACGTCGGCGTATTTCAAAGGCTGGTATAAAGAAAGCCGCGACCTCTTTGAAATTGTTGCTGCTGAAATGAAATATTTTAAAAGCTGAATCCTGCTTTCTGACGACACGTTAGCATAACATGTAGAATTTTCATCGATTTTACTTTCCGTTCAAATTTTTGCAAGAGTGTTTCTTTCTGGTTTCCAGGCGAACCACATTATCATGTAAATCATGATATATTTAGTCAATCCGGTGCTAAGCAGTCATCCTCAATCGATGATATTGATATCTCTTGATTGCTTCGTACAACTGTTGTAGAAAATCACAGATGTGATAAAAGGCAAGTAATAAAATTTATGAATTTAACAACAATTTAATTTAATCCGTGCATGTAGAAAAAAGCCAATAAAAAACCAAATGAAACTTTGAATTTTATCTAAGGTTAATTAAAAAATCAGAGACTACAAATGTATATACACACAATGATATCACTCGACCATTTTATAAAGTTTCAAAACTATGAATAATTATGGGACTTGGGAAAGGTGAGCACGATCTATTACTAGAGATGACAGTCTAATAAAGGTCACTAAAATAGTATGTAGCTCAGTGGCTTTAACATGGATATTATTTGGAGAAAGATTGATTCATATTTGTCCCTCGACTGCTTAACGGTTGATCGCGTAACACGGTTCGTCTGAATTTGAAAGATAAAGCGCAAAACTATAAAATGATTTATTACAACGCATGCACTGCTTGGTCAATAGCTGAAATTGCATTAGCCTGTGCAAACTGATCTGTGCTCAATCAAAAAACCAATCAAAGAGAATTTGCAAATCAATACGTGCCAGAAGAAATATTCGAATATTTATTTTATATCTAATCGTTTCGCATTATTATTTATTTGTAGAGGACATAAAAGATGGTCTTTTTCATGATTTAATTATACAAATCCTGGAGACGTTTACGAGAACTCTTGCGCAGGTGCGAACTCTCGACTTTCATCCTAGGGCTTGTACTGATCTGCTTTCGAGTTCATCCAAAGATATCCTCGGTTTGCATAATGCAGCACAGTCTTTTTAAATCCTATTTAAGATTTCAAAAACGCCTTACAGAGAATAAGAAGTTTTGGGATTATCTGCACGGAATAGTATCTTTTTTTGTTAAGTAATTTGGAAGGTCATGGTTAATGAAGAAGAACATTAACATAGATAAATATTGTAGTATTCCGAATAAAATTTTTGTTTAAAGCAAAAATGACCAACAATAAAGTCACACGATGTACACTGAAAGAAAGTAAAAGTTAGCCGGCATATCTCTATGGCTCATTGTATGCATGCAAAGAAAGAGATCTAGAAGAGTCCTTCCTCGTTGCCAATTTAACAGCAATGACTTTTGGAGAACATGTATGATTGCTGCCTTTAATTAGTTATGAAAAAGATTTGTAACGAAGCATCAAACGTCGTTTGTTAGCAGTAAAGGATCCTGGATGAAGTCCACTCGCTTTTCTTACAAGTTTTACTTTATGTCACATGCATATGTTACGTAGCAAGACCGTTTATTTAGAGCTGCTGTGCAAATATTTCAATGTTCATTCACTGTAAAAAAAACAATGTTAATGTTCTAAATATTTCATATCAAGACAAAACTCTCGGGATGGCCGCGCGTTTTGAAACCTCTTGTCAACTTAATGTGCAATGCGAAATATTCGCTTTCGTTTAAAAGATCAACCAAAATCAAGGACATAGTATAAATTTGTTTTCTTCCTTGACTTTGGTATACGATCTATTCACATCAACAATTGTAGGGTATTTAGTGCAATTTCGATAAACCCTGCTGAGAAACATTTTAACTCTTGTTGTACACAGTGACGTAGCCGGCCTGGTGTTCGTTGTTGCGTGGGGGTGGGGGTGCAAAATTCAAATATTCATGTTCTGTCTTGTTCATTTCATTGAAATCAATTGTTTTCTGCGGATTAAAAAACATGTATACCTGAATATCTTTCCTCTCACCACAACCAATTATCAATGCTAGCTAAGCTTTCGGTTGTAAAGCAATCGCTGTATTTTCTAACACCTTAGTTATTGTGCTCATGAGATAAGTGGTGCATCTCACACTTTCACACCCGTAATAGGTATATAGTTTTAATCGAATCAGGGGGGTACTTCCTCACTATAGCAAACTTAGAACGTGGTTACCATTTACAGGGGGCTGAGAGGAAAGATTCAAAGAAGAAGAAAGGTGGTGGTATTTTCAGTCGAAGCAGCTTTAAGCGTCGATCCAGCGGACATAATTCAGAGATAATGGCTTCCGATATACAATTGTTTGAAAAGGACAGGAATGAATTGATGAGGAAAATAAAAAATAAGGAAATAACATCGGAGGAAGCATGGGATCAATTGAGAAGGTACGAGTAGCTATGTAAGAATGGATTTATACTCTTTATTTAGCGTGGTATCTCATATGACTCTATTTCTAACAAGCCCCTTTTCCAAGAAGCCTGCCCTATCTAATAGACTACGCTATTTAACAAGCTCCCCCCTGGGAAAGTATACAATTCGACAACTGTTCAACTTTGCAACACATCAACTTTCTACACAGGTTTGTCAACTGTTCAACTTTGCAACACCTCAACTTTCTACACAGGTTTGTCAACTGTTCAACTTTGCAACACATCAACTTTCTACTCAGGTTTGTCAACTGTTCAACTTTGCAACACATCAACTTTCTACTCAAGTTTGTCAACTGTTCAACTTTGCAACACATCAACTTTCTACACAGGTTTGTCAACTGTTCAACTTTGCAACACCTCAACTTTCTACACAGGTTTGTCAACTGTTCAACTTTGCAACACATCAACTTTCTACACAGGTTTGTCAACTGTTCAACTTTGCAACACCTCAACTTTCTACACAGGTTTGTCAACTGTTCAACTTTGCAACACCTCAACTTTCTACACAGGTTTGTCAACTGCTCAACTTTGCAACACATCAACTTTCTACACAGGTTTGTCAACTGTTCAACTTTGCAACACATCAACTTTCTACACAGGTTTGTCAACTGTTCAACTTTGCAACACATCAACTTTCTACACAGGTTTGTCAACTGTTCAACTTTGCAACACCTCAACTTTCTACACAGGTTTGTCAACTGTTCAACTTTGCAACACATCAACTTTCTACACAGGTTTGTCAACTGTTCAACTTTGTAACACATCAACTTTCTACACAGGTTCGTCTTTGATAACACAAACTATAACCTACTAATGTGTTGTTTTACACCAATGACAATCATCAAGCTTGAAGATGACTACCGCTAAGGTTGTCGAAACGTCAGTCAACAACAAAAACAGTCCTTTTCAAGACTATACCAACCTGGACGATCTACATTTACAAACATGTAACGATACTCCCGCGTTCAAACCATTTACTTTAATCATCAAGCTTGTCTGTCATGCGTTGACATTGACCGGAAGTAAATACGTTGTTTTACACCAATGACTGTCATCAAGCTTACCCAACATAGACATTAACCGGAAGTAAATATGTTTGTTGCCAATTGCAGTTGTCAAGCATGTCTAAAGCCTAGTTCACATATAGTTGTAATTCAGGCGATTTTTCAAACTAGGGTCAAATTTACATGCGGCTTTTCATCGCTTATATTTCATAAAAACGCCCGGTTAGGTTTTTGACAAGCTTTCTCATTGGCAAGGTTTGGTCAAGGATTTTGATGATTTATCGTAAAAGAAATGAAAAGAAGAAATGAAATTGCTATTGCCGATTAGCGTTCAGTATAAATTTCTTAAGTCGGCGACTGTTGTAATTGTTGTAGAGATTGAACAGGATTCGACTTCTTCAACAGCTCCCGATTTGTCTGCGATTAAATTACAACAATTACAACGGGCGTTCACATATATTTGTAATTGTTTTAAACCATCATCGCCGACTGTATTACAATAATTACAACTATATGTGAACTAGGCTTAACATGAAAATTGACCGGAAGTAAATATGTTGTAGCGCGCCATTAACAGTCAACAAGCTTGTCCTGCACATGGAGTATCACGTGTTTTGCGACATCTTGCTACTTTGTCTTGTCAAATGAAACCAATTTATCATAATTTTTATCACAATTTTTCAGATTCTAACGTGGACATTTCTCAAAGCACAAGCAATATCCCATCTTCGACTGCCTCGGACTCATCACCAAATTCAACCCCAGGACTATCTCGCAAACACAGAGTGGACACTGACAGTAGTGAAACTGTAGGTTTAGTTTTCATGTTTTCCAATATCTTCCGTTCAGACCTTCGCTACTCGTTTGGACACTCTTTTTATAATAAATGAAGGCGACTTCTTAGCATGAATTTTATCCTAAGAATGTCTTCGTGAATGTGTAATCGTGACTATATTTTGTTCCGTTTTAGCTTTGTTCCAGTGGTAGTGTCGAATTTGATACAAACGTTCAAGGTATATGTGCGCTTCACACTCCTCCCCCCCCCGGAATTTTTTATTGAGGAAGAAACTTTCATTGAATTACTGTGTTTTTTATATTGAATTACTGAGTTACATATGTTTTTTTTTATGATTTACATTTTCCTATATTCTCTCGTCTTTCACAGTTTCTCATCATGGTCTTTCACCGGCGTCTTCAAAATTTCCAAAGAACGATGTTCGACGAGCGGCTTCCGAGAAAAAAAGAACAAATAAGATGAATGAGGAACAAAATCGTCGCAGTACCATATCCAACTCGGATTTAAACAACGTATCTTCGGGTAGTCTTTCTCACTCACAAGAAAACGTCAATAATCAGCCTCCCATTCCGCCATCGAAAAAGCCACCACGAGCTAACATCGGTAAAAACATCCCATCGGGTTTGCGGACCCCGGACATTTCGGGTAGTGCCGGGAAATCACCGCAAATCGATAGGAAATCGAAACCGGATATTATTACCAAACAACATGAAGGAGGAAAACCTGTTTTACCACCCAAGCCGGCTCTCCCAAGTAAACCATCGAAACTTCCTCCTAAGCCGATGACATCTAAAAGTTTACCTAGAAACGCCCCCCTTTTGTCTGTTGCCAACGGCAATTTAATTGAAGATGCCACACAAGATACGAGGACTAAAGGCGAGGTGACGTCACAGGTTTTGACGTCACGGCAGGCAAGGAAGGTGCCACCAAAACCATCGCCTGCGACTAGGGTTTCCCGCCATAAACCAAGTGGAACTAAACTTTTGGAAATGATCGAGAAGAAACTTGAAGAAGAAGGAGTTGATTTATTACAAGATCCTTATACAAATCAGGTAGGATTTTGGTTGTGAAAGTCGTTAGTACTGCACATACGCTTAATGATTTTCCTTAAAAATGCTTATGGAAAGAATGATTAACGGCTAAATTATTTTCGAGCAATGATTTAATTTATAACCTGTTTATGTTAAATAGTTAACTAGATATGTGGAAAACGGGAGGTTCTTTGCATTCCTCCCCGGATGTAATACGTAGAAATCCTGCAAGGTTGGATGTGAGAGTGGCGCAAATGTATAATGTTTAGGACCAAAGACTAAAGGGTTGTGATTAGTAGAATAAGTTTTTCATGAAGTATTGCATAAATGACATCACATTATGATTTCATGAAGTATCATAGAAATGGTGACATTACAGTAGGTCTCTATTATTATACATGTATAAATAGTATTCAATAGTTAAAACAATGTCAAGTTTTTGCCAATCACAAACATCCGCCATTTTAATATTTTCTTGTTGTTTTTGTTGTACCAGAATGGTAAATGGGGTGTTCCCATGACGCTGGTTGATCGATATTCCCGCGAGTTGAAGACGACGATGAGAGAAGTTGCCAAGGAAATGGATCATATAAGGGTGGAAAAATTAGATCATGTTAAGAAAAAGGCGGTGAGTTTTCATAAATATTTCATGACATTATAAAGCTTCTTTATTACGCGTCGTCCTTGTTTGATATGGTTTGTTTTGGTGAATGTTTTTATGCAGTGCGGTGTTTGAAATTAAATGAGATATGATCTTCGCACTTAGCTGGACAATTTAAGCAATCGTCTCAGGACCTTCAGGTGACTCAGGGATTCGAGGATTGCGGTGACTGACCACTGAGCTATGAAGTGGTGCAATATTGTTGGGCCATGTTTTCTCGTGAAATGAATGTCATATGAATGTGCAACAATATTGACCTGCTCACCACTGTGACTTCTCAGTGGTCAGAACTGCACCGGCACCGCAGAGGTCATTCTGAATCCAAGTCACCTGATTTTCAGGTCCTGAGACGATTGCTTAAATTGTCCAGCTAAGTGCGAAGATCATATCTCATTTAATTTCAAACACCGCACTGCATAAAACATTCATTTCACGAGAAAACATGAGCCCAACAATATTGACCTGCTCACCACTGTGTGACTTCATAGCTCAGTGGTCAGAGCACTGCACCGGCACCGCAGAGGTCATGGGTTCGAATCCCGTTGAGTCACCTGATTTTTTCAGGTCCTGAGACGATTGCTTAAATTGTCCAGCTAAGTGCGAAGATCATATCTCATTTAAGTTTGTTTTGGTGTTAGCCATTAAGGCGGTGTAAAAGATGAAAACTTCAATTATTATCTATTTAGTCCTTGTTTGATGTGGTTTGTTTTGGTGTTAGCCATTAAGGCGGTGTAAAAGATGAAAACTTCAATTATTATCTATTTAGTCCTTGTTTGATGTGGTTTGTTTTGATGTTAGCCATTAAGGCGGTGTAAAAGATGAAAACTTCAATTATTATCTATTTAGTCCTTGTTTGATGTGGTTTGTTTTGATGTTAGCCATTAAGGTGGTGTAAAAGATGAAAACTTCAATTATTATCTATTTAGTCCTTGTTTGATGTGGTTTGTTTTGGTGTTAGCCATTAAGGCGGTGTAAAAGATGAAAACTTCAATTATTATCTATTTAGTCCTTGTTTGATGTGGTTTGTTTTGATGTTAGCCATTAAGGCGGTGTAAAAGATGAAAACTTCAATTATTATCTATTTAGTCCTTGTTTGATGTGGTTTGTTTTGATGTTAGCCATTAAGGCGGTGTAAAAGATGAAAACTTCAATTATTATCTATTTAGTCCTTGTTTGATGTGGTTTGTTTTGGTGTTAATCATTAAGGCGGTGTAAAAGATGAAAACTTCAATTATTATCTATTTAGTCCTTGTTTGATGTGGTTTGTTTTGATGTTAACCATTAAGGCGGTGTAAAAGATGAAAACTTCAATTATTATCTATTTAGTCCTTGTTTGATATGGTTTGTTTTGGTGTTAGCCATTAAGGCGGTGTAAAAGATGAAAACTTCAATTATTATCTATTTAGTCCTTGTTTGATGTGGTTTGTTTTGGTGTTAACCATTAAGGCGGCGTGAAAAACTTCAATTATTATCTATTTATCCTTGTTTGATTTTGTCCTGATGTTTGATAAAACTTCAATTATTATTATTTAGTCCTTGTTTGATATGGTTTGTTTAAGGCGGTGTAAAAGATGAAAACTTCAATTATTATCTATTTAGTCCTTGTTTGATATGGTTTGTTTTGGTGTTAGCCATTAAGGCGGTGTAAAAGATGAAAACTTCAATTATTATCTATTTAGTCCTTGTTTGATGTGGTTTGTTTTGGTGTTAGCCATTAAGGCGGTGTAAAAGATGAAAACTTCAATTATTATCTATTTAGTCCTTGTTTGATGTGGTTTGTTTTGATGTTAGCCATTAAGGCGGTGTAAAAGATGAAAACTTCAATTATTATCTATTTAGTCCTTGTTTGATGTGGTTTGTTTTGGTGGCGGTGTAAAAGATGAAAACTTCAATTATTATCTATTTAGTCCTTGTTTGATATGGTTTGTTTTGGTGTTAGCCATTAAGGCGGTGTAAAAGATGAAAACTTCAATTATTATCTATTTAGTCCTTGTTTGATGTGGTTTGTTTTGATGTTAGCCATTAAGGCGGTGTAAAAGATGAAAACTTCAATTATTATCTATTTAGTCCTTGTTTGATGTGGTTTGTTTTGATGTTAGCCATTAAGGCGGTGTAAAAGATGAAAACTTCAATTATTATCTATTTAGTCCTTGTTTGATGTGGTTTGTTTTGGTGTTAGCCATTAAGGCGGTGTAAAAGATGAAAACTTCAATTATTATCTATTTAGTCCTTGTTTGATATGGTTTGTTTTGGTGTTAGCCATTAAGGCGGTGTAAAAGATGAAAACTTCAATTATTATCTATTTAGTCCTTGTTTGATGTGGTTTGTTTTGATGTTAGCCATTAAGGCGGTGTAAAAGATGAAAACTTCAATTATTATCTATTTAGTCCTTGTTTGATGTGGTTTGTTTTGATGTTAGCCATTAAGGCGGTGTAAAGATGAAAACTTCAATTATTATCTATTTAGTCCTTGTTTGATGTGGTTTGTTTTGATGTTAGCCATTAAGGCGGTGTGAAGGATGAAAACTTCAATTATTATGTATTTAGATGATCATATGCTTGTTATGTCTTTGTTCGTGCTTAAGATAAGACGTGAAAATCTGACTGAGTACAATTTAGCCTTTGCATTTTATTTATAATCGAGACATGTAAATTTTTGTCCGCATTGAAGGTTTTTTGTATTTGTCGTAGCCCAGAAAGTAGAATAATCGTCGCACTAGAGGTAGACATGCCAAATGAAACGGTTTTTATTTTTCTGTAAGGTTCCATGTGATATTTCCAGTCTTCGCTTCGCTGCAGATGTTGTGGGAAAACTTAGTTCAGTGGTGGACTGGTTGACGTCACTTGGACTGCCAATGTACATAGAAAATTTTCTGGAAGAAGGATACGATGATATGAGTATTGTACCCTATCTTTCACACGACCATCTTCGTCATGCAAATATCACAAATACAGATCATATCGCTAGACTTATTCGATCCCTTGAAAACATGGCCCCAGACCCTCACTCTTACAATGGAGATTGACGAGGCCCCAGACCTCTCCTCTTACAATGGAGATTAAAGAGGCCGCAGACTTCTCCTCTTACGACGGAGGTTGATGAGGCCCAGACCCTAGTCGTGTCGTGTACATTAACTAGGTCAAATGACTCAAATCTCGCTCACGACTTGTCGATAATTATTAGAAATGATAATGTATTTATATATTATGATTCGGCTTTACCAAAGCTCGACATTGCTGCCCAAGGGATGTTCAAAATTATAATAGATGTCGATTTAACGGCTGATGTAGGAAACGAACCTCGTGTCCAGGAGAAAGGACAATGGGTACGAGGTTGACACCATTGAACTGTCTTTTGAATCTGGAGTGCTCTCTTTGTTGTTGCAATCCTTGAAGCCGAAATTTAAGTTTTCTTGAGTTTTTAGATATAATTTCCATGAAATAATTTTAAAGAATGAACAAAGATCTATATAAAATACAGTTGCACAAACTGCCATCATACGTTTTACCTTACGAGCTCGGGTAAATAACGAAAATACTCTGATATGAATGCGTCTTAGTGTGCATCAGATGATTTATAGCACTGCTATTGGAGTTAGTGCTCCAGTTTATATTATATTTCAATGGTTGTCAGCCACCAAGCATCTCCAATAACATGCTTTTCAATAGTTTAGTGCGCTAAAACGTCATCGTACGTTTTAAACTATTTTTGTGTAGAAAAAACTAACTTCTTTCAAACCTGTTTGTTTTGGTTTGCATGCCAATATTATAAATCTATTCATGATTGTGGAATTTGTGAATCGTATTTGGCGACATTTTGTCGAATGAATTTAGTTATACACAAGTCTTGAATTCTTTTGAACTTATATATGCTTGTCACTTTTCTATAATAATTTCGATATGATAAATCCTACAATGATGCAATAACATTTTTACATATATTATTTATTGAGAAATAAATTAGAATTATCTGTGTTGAATATTTTACATATGACAATAAATAAATATTGGTATTTTAGTTTACCTATGCAAATATGCCGTGAAGTTATTCGCTTACATCATCACATGTGAATAGATTATATGTATCCGCGTCAGATTTATGTATTTATACACTGGGTCTAGCATTTATCTTCTGAGGAACAGTCATCTATTCTCACTCACTTTCAACAAATCTTTTGTCAACATCTTTAAATCTGCAAACCTGATTTGTTTTGTAGACTTGATTAGCGCTGTCACAAATGCGTGCAAGTAATTTAATTTGCCAGGATATTTTGATTTGCACGAATAGGTAAACTTGAGTTCTATATATATTTATTTATATCGTCTCTAGCACGATGTTCATACATGCAAAACATGTTATATTAAAAATTCCTTTTGAAATCAAATTTTTTAAATTTTACCCCGGATGAATGAATATCCTTTCCCAGCTATCGGGCAGCAATGCCAACGAGTCTTAATAGTAGACTTCCATCCGAATGCTATAGTGTACGCTCTTACTTTGATTATTTTGTTAATTGAAGGGTAAGTTCAGTGAAACACGATCTGCACAAAACTGATGTGCTCGAATTATCATGACTATGAACAGTGACACTGATCAAGTTGTTGGTTTGAAGACACTTAAGAAAAGGAAGAAAGGCCAAAAAGCAAGGCTAGAATGATTTAAAAATTATTAAGGAATGATGCCTCTCTGTCACTTACTAACTTCTTTTCTTTTAATAGTGACAACTGAATAATGAGCATTGCAAGTAGTCATTGGCTACCACAATCACGTTCAAATAATTTAAAACAAATAAAGCTAGCAAAGTCCCTTTCAAGCAAATGTTGCAACTCACAATTAAAGTTGAAGGATCTTATATATATATCATGAAAGGAATATTACATATCTAAAAAAGACTTAACCTTAAATTTATAAATACACCATGCCATCTTCGATGATAGTATTTTCATATGTAGGTAGTAATTCGCTAATAGTTAGACGTACTTTTTAACTTTACTGTAAATTTCTCTTCCGTAAGATTCTCGTGAATACCAACGTAAGTTGAAGATGTTACCGTGTTTACCCTAGGAGAAACAACCCTGAGAAAAACAACCCTAGGAAATACAACCCTGGGAAAAACAATCCTAGGAAACTATAAGCCCCCCCTGTCAACAAGACTCTGGTAACAAAGTTGCTTAACACATGATTTGACTAAATTTGTATCAGTGGAAAAAAATTTCAGTGACGAAAACAGAATTTGTTTTATTTTCTACAGACTTACGCTATTACAGTAAAAAGAATTGACAACGACATACATAGCTACATTGTTATTGTCACTTCTTGAAGAAGGAATAAGCATCCAGCTAACCCCAGCGTCTCCAACGATACCTACGTTTTCCTACGAGGTTTACAACGAAAACGAAAATGACAAGGAGTTCTAGAATTTAAACTCAAATCACGTGTTGCTTGTTTTCTTGCATCGTTTTCCCACTCTTCTGATCTGGATGGAATTCAGGGTCGGAGATACGAATCGCTTCACTTTCATCACTGTAGGCTTGACAAAATCAATATGATATACAAATGAGAAGGATTGTTAGTTTACTTTCTTTTAAAACACTAAGTAATAACAAAAATGTAGCATGACTGCAAAATATATACCTGATTGTGGCAAGACAACCATTACGGCCAAAAGTGCACACAAAATAACCAACTTCATTTTATTTTCTTCTTCTTAACCTTCTTGTAAGAAACATTTACACTTTCTGATGCCAGCATCTCGAGTCTTGTGCTTTATAACTGTCCGTATTATGCAGATTTCTAGCTGTTTTTGTAATAAATTGAAAGACTGTTTTACTTGATAGATCGTTTTAAACAATCTAATTATAACAAATTACGATATGTTCCCATAGCGATTATCGCGCAAAACGGAAAGAATACGCTCAACAATTGATTCCAAATCCGCATCTATAATTTCAAGGAGTTGCAATTTCTTGATTTTTCATTCATAACTAAAGCAAATATTTTAACTAAATATTTTAAGTAATGATTAAAACTCTAAGTGTTCATACTCTGACGTCGTCGGGTAAATATCTCAAACGTCCCACTGAGCAATTATGAATCTATAGCTCTCTCGAGTCATGAATGATGATAAAGCTGAAATGGGTGCAATGTCGCAATCATACTTGTAAGATAAAAATATTATTGTGACAAAACTGACCATGGATTTGCCAGGCAAAAAGCGAATTCTAACTATAAATAAATTACCCAACATAAACCCTTTTATGCGGCATATGTTATTACACTTCACACTAATTCACACTGACAATACACACTTGACACCCACACATTACAGCTAAAAATATCACACCTAAATCACACTTCACAACTAAAAACATTTCACTTCACACTAATTCACAATGATAATACACATTTCCTGTACACACATACAATTACGTAAGAACCAGATAACAAATACGGCTAACCTGACGTTAGTCAAACTCTATGACTCTAAAGATGAGTACCGCTAAGGTTGTCGAAACGTCAGTCAACAACAACAAAAATAGTCCTTTTCAGGACTATACCAACCTGGACGATCTACATTTACAAACATGTAAAAGTTTTATGTTGGGCAATTATATTTGTACTTAGGATAAGATAGAAATATATCACAAAAGTATTTGTTACTAATTGAAGATGCAAAGGTTCGTCTCATGGTAATGAGTCGATGATTGATATATATTTCAATTATATTTTCCTTCATGAAAATCAATTACAGCTGAAACGTGCAAAAATTTTGAGCGCTAGGAGTACAATAAAAATGCAAAATATTTCAAATTCAGCAATCAAAAACTGCAAATTCAACCATAAAATTGCTTTAATTTTATAATTAGAGCCAAGGCTTATACTCTCCTGCTGTGGTGCAATTATATTAAGTGCGGCTGATACGTGGAATATTCGAATCCTGTGAAGTCGACACGTAAATTCTAAATTATGAACATTGCAAGTCATGTAAGTTGTAAGAGCCTTTTTCAAAATATAGCATTTACCAATAGGGAGACATTTATCGCAAAGCAACAAATAGCAAGAATCTACAAAGCCAGATAAAGGCAAAATAATGGATATATAAACCAACAATACATCCCACAAAAAATGTCATACAATTAAAAGGACTTTAATTCTTGGTTATTTTTAACGTCGGCGTATTTCAAAAGCTGGTATAAAGAAAGCCGCGACCTCTTCGAAATTGTTGCTGCTGAAAATGGAATATTTTAAAGCTGAATCCTGTTTTCTGACGACACGTAAGCATAACATGTAGAATTTTCATCGATTTTATTTTCCGTTGAAATTTTTGCAAGAGGGCTGCTTTCAGGTTTCTATCCTGTTTTCTGATCTCACGTTAGCATAACATGTAGAATTTAAACCAAACTGGACGCAGTATTAATGCTTTGAAAACAAGTTACAGCATGTTGTCAGATTATGAACAAAGTTTATAGATTTGTGAACATTTTGCTCTTTTCATGAACATCTCATGAACATCAAAAATTCGTGAGCTTTTTGTGATTTTTTCAAAATTCTATGACTTTCGTATTTTCATAATAAAGAAAGTAGAAATCAATCGTAATTCAATGACATGACAATTTTCATAGCTCAGCACTTCTTTCAAAACAATAACGATTTTCAAAGATAATCCGTTGTTTTCTGGTAATTTTCTGAGTAAATTCGTAGTTTTCCGACAATTTACGAAGCTGCAAGAGTAATTAAGTGAGCACAGTAAGAGAGTTTGCCTCTGAAACTTCCAACCCCCAAGATAAAAAAAAACTCTACGCCAATAGTATGGTTGCAATCCAGGAATATATGTTGATTTCTTATTACTACTATCTACATTAACATTTCATTTACAGAATAATGAAAAAAGAAAGATGTTGAACTTGATTTAAAGTACAATTATATAGTGTGTATAAAAACAGCTACTCTTTGCAATCGGAAGATGTTTAGAATGTGTAAATTGCAATGGTAAACATTACACTTTGCAAATTTCAAAAATTATCATGCAGCTTATGTGATTTCAAAGACTTGCTAGTTTTTTTACATACAGTATACATTACTGACTTGTATAATTTATCATATCGTATGTGGTCTAGCTTGGATAGCTTAAGCATGTGTGTATAGCTATGTCAATAAGTCGTAAATTGTTCATGTATTTTTCACAAAACCTGACAAAATAATCTCTTATTGGATTTAAATGACATATGTTTCTTGTTGTTCCGCAAAATTTGGCGAAAAGAAGTTGATTGTTCTTGTGGGATGTTTATAGTTAAAGGTTTTCCCTTTGCCAGCCTTTTTTCCAGCCTTTTTAAATAACATCGCGGAGAATCGCTTTCTTCATGATTAATCAGTGAAATAGTTTAGTTGAAACATGCGACGCGACGAAGTTGTGTATTAAACAAAATGGAGGCATTTAACATCAAGATTTTGGAGATGAGCACTGTATGATCATGTATGAAATTACAGTAAAGTACTTGAGAGTTTGTCAATATGCAAATTAAGGATTTTGTCGTGGACCGTTGTGACAAATTTAAAATAGTTTTAAAATAGAATGAATATTATAGTGAACTGGTGTATCTCTATTTGTAGCCTTATATAGGCATATTGAGAAAAGCAGTTGCAGTCTTAACTACAACGATTTTATGAAGAACATTCATGATTGCTGCCTTTGCATAGCAATTGAAAACATTGGTAGTCAAGAATCAAACGTTACTTTTAACAGTTAAGCAACGTTATGACTCGGCACTGGCTTTATTCTATTGTCTACAATACACATGTATTTTTGGAAACTTTTCTTCACTAAATTGCTTTCTGAGCAGAAGTGACAAAATAAGGAGAAAGTATCTAAGATAAAAGTTAGAAATAAATTCTTACACTAGAGCAGCCACAACAAAACCAACATTTTCATCAGTGTAAGCTGTATGAAATCATTATGATATAAAATAACAGTCTTTCTTTGCATTTAGTTATAACAAATATGCATAAAATGTAAGTATAAATACCTGACGATA